GGATCGCCAATCTGTGAAAAGCCTTTGACCGGACGCCTGTGATAGGCGCACAATTTCAATAAGAATAATGAGCAGCGAGAAATGGGCAATGGCGGCTGTTTTCCGCGTGCCGAGGTGGACTCCAGACTTGCGAATCACGTGCCCAGGGACAAGAGGTCTTTGTACGTGAAGCGGCAATTTTCTGGCTACAGGGTGAGTCCAGAAGTCTTGATGACTTCAAGCACTGCTTCAGGTAGCCTGAGATGCTCGCAGGATCTCGAGGAATATACGACCACGTTGTTTAGGTACACTTGGTAATTCTAGCACTTCAGTCCCTCCAGCATGGTGTCTATAACACGCTGGAACGTTGCAGGCGCCGAACAAAGACCAAATGGCATGGCCTTCAACTCAAAGGAACTGTCTGGGTGATAAAGGCAATTTTCTCTCGATCTTTCTCTTTGACCCTGATTTTCCAATACCTGGTCTTGAAATCTGTTGACAAAGAGTACTTGGCACTCAGGAGTTGATCGAGGGTGTCGTGTACACGTGTAATGGGGTGCACGTCCTTCATTATATAGTTCAGGCGGTGGTAATCGACGCAAAAACGTAGAAATCGACACAGAAATCAATTTATTTGCTCGGAAACCCCTCTACACTCCAAGGCAAAATTACCCGAAACAGGAGTAACGGAGCTCCATAAGGGCGCGCGATGAACGAATAGGCCGTTGAGGAGCAACCACAGAGGGAAGCGTGCCGCCTGCAAACCACTTAGTCTCCAAACACGCTTCGAAGGGATGAACCACCCGATAATTGAAGGCAGTACGTGAAGTGTGGCCAAGGTCACTAGCCGTCTTCTTCCTCTCCAGGCTCAGTCTTTCTCTGTATATTGCTGGCGACGCTTCGCGTTGCGTCGCACTTGGAGTGCTCGACCACAGCCACCTAGATTCGACGATCTAGGAATTGCAACGTGTTGCTTATGTGTACGCTTGGGTGAGCGTGCGCTGCTTCTTTTATGTTTCGCCGTGCCCATGAAGTCTGGTGAGTATAGAGACGTCACCGCGCCACGCTGTATATCTCCTGGCTTCAAGATATTCCCGACCAACACTTGACAGCAACAGTTAGGAAGGCCAACATGGCGGTCGAGAAGACAGCAAGCCATTCGGATACATTACTTCAGCCCTACTATGGGAAATATCAGCGCTGGATTCTTCTGCAAGTAGGAGATCATCATTATTCTGCTCTACTTGTCCCCTGTGCGATACGGATCCCACTTGCCCTCAACGGGCTTCGCCGTGTTGTATATCGCACGCACGAAATGCACCACGAAGGTCAGCTTGGGCGTCTGCAGTTCGCCTGTGCTTTGCGACTGACTCGAAATTGGCCGCCATCGCCGTCGGCCTTCTGTACGCTCGCTCATCGAGTGCTCGCCTTTCTTCGCCACCGCAATGAGCTCCGGGCTCGCGATATTGGGCTGAGACCTCGTCACTGTGTTGGGAGTCGTCAAAAACACGTTGCGGGTTTTCATAACGAGCTTGGTTGTAATATGTCGAGTGCTGTAAGTGCATCAGCATGGTCTAGCGGGGCTTTCCTAGCATCGTAACTCGATTAAAGTTGGTCACCGTTACAGTTGGCTTCCCCGTCAGTTGGTCGCAAGCAGCTTGACGCCGTCTGTTGGCCACGGCGGTGGACTCGCGTTTGCGCGCTGCACTCGCACTCGCTCGAGTTTGTGGAAAAGGGCCGCATTTCTGTCGATTTCTTAGGCGCTATTTCCAAACCAGCTCGGCGCTGTTCGCAGCGGCGGCCAAGCGAACACTCGCTCTCCTGTTCACTGGCGGATGACACTCCACGTGCAGCACCGTGTTTGGTATCACGTTCACTTGTTCGAGCTGAACGACGTCGCTCGCTTAGAAGTCGCCGACTGGCTGGCGGCACGGTGGTTCGCGAAGTTGTGGCTGCGGCTGCCGCTTCTAAGCTGTTGCACTACGGGGATCGAAATGAGTATTTGACGATGTGTTACATCACGGTGAAATTTTTAGCATGTTACATCCCACCTATGTTTTTACTTCACCTTGCACGTATTTCTCATATGCATTCGTATTCATCCTCTTTCACGTGTGACTCACTATTTTACATACTTATTATGCAGCCGTGGGCACACACCGTGCTGAAGGCTGTGCGCGCTGAAGTCTGCGACGCCCATCATCAATCTCTTTCGTCAGAGCAGCTTCAGAAGGACTGTACCAGTTGTGAAGGTAAAGTTATTTGTGTGTCATATTTTAAAGACATGTTTTTACATTAATTTGAGCATACATCCTAAATGCGTGCATATTCATCTTCTCTCGCATGAGTCTAAGTATTTTTACAATCTTATTGTACGTACAGCCATGAGAACGCAACAGGCAGAACCCATGAGTACAGCCAGGAGAACACAACATGCGCTGGCGTCTGCAATGCCTGTCATCTATCGCTTTCATTCAGAGAAGCTCCCCAAAGAGTGAACAAGATGTGACAATGAGACTGTACTTGTGCGCTTCACCATGAATGCACTTAATATAATGGAGAAACTTCATGTGTATATAGATATATAAAAAAATTCGATGTCTCACTTTTGTCTTTCGTTGTTGCCATGACTGCGAAAACAGTTACACATAGGTGGCTAAATACATTTTTGCGTGTTCTTTTCTACGCTATTTGTTACTCACAGCACAGAAAAATAGGCGAAAAAGTATAAGGCCTGGCGGAAAAATAAACAAAAAATAATACTTGAAGTAAGGATAAAAAGTTCATCCGATTGGAGTATTTGAGTGAATCAACCGTTCGTCCGGCAAAGTGCAACTCTAAGGACTAACGGTTGCCCGGTAAGGCGTAAGTGTGGGGATTAACAGTTACTCTATAAGGTGCAAATGTGAGGACCAAATGTTAGTTTTGAGGTGAATTGTGGGACTAACGGTCGCTCAACAACGTGTAAATGTGAGGACTAAATGTTAGTTCATTGAGCTCTTCTGTGGGGACTAACTGTCAGACGCGGTGCCGTTAGTCCTTAAAACGATTGATGATTGCGGCAGCCCCATTAGTCTCCAAAAGGACGAACCACACACCCTTTTAACATCCTGTTGCCTTAGAGTGTAGGGGGTGTCACATAAAAGGTGGATACACACGCATTACACGTACATTAAATGCGCGACAGGCGGTGTGTTGCACCTTGCCGAAATAAAGTCGAGCATGTAATGGCAGCAGTGCTGTGTGAATCATTCAGATAGTACCCGTAGAAAGCAAAAGGTTGACGATGTATTGGTGTGGCTGCGTGGGCGGTTGACTTGTAGGGCATGGCCTTTGCAATGAGATATGCGTGCTTGATTGGTCACGAAGCCTGGTAGGTAACGCTAACTGCAATAGAAATAATGGAACAGAATTTATAGGACTATAACTTATGGAAAAAATTAAGCACTGCGACTGGTCCGATTCTATAAAGCAAAACGAAAAAAATACAGCTTTTAGAGCGCAGCTAGAGAGAAGCACCAGAAAAAAACTCTTGTTTTGCTGAATTTTCTCCTTCATATGTTGAATAACATGTCTCTTTTGAAAAAACGAGAATGTCTTGTTCTAGGTTTGAGATCAAGTTTATTGGTCTTTCTGCATGTACAAAAAGCAGGTAACATCATACGTAGAGAATCAGGAGGCCCCAAAGCAAGAAACTAGGAGGGAGACGTCCTGTCACTATCTGCGTACATAATTGTAAGAACAGGAAAAAACTAAAAGTGCCATCAAATAAAAAAAACGCAGCGAATACAAAACCATGTACACTAAAAAACAAAAAATATTTATTTTAAAGCACATATATACAACGCCTAAAGATACCCATAGGTAGGAATAAAAAAGAGTGAAATGATGATGAAAATATATTTATTAGAGTTGAAAAAAAACGGCTCATTGAACAGTAGGTCTTACATGCTGTGTTTGAAAGACTGCAATGCACGAGATGACCTAAAATGAAGAGCTATGTAGGTCCAAAGCTGATTACCATAGAAAAAATCTGTATATCTGCCATAGTTCAATCTTATTGTAGGTAAATCAAGGATAATATTATTTTAAAACTTTGTATGGTTGATTTTAAAGAGGACATAGGCAGAATACTATGTATTGATATTTCATGATGAACGAGACGGTATGTGATTAGAAACAAACTGTGGCAAAACAACAATTGAATTGGTACAATGCCAAGCTGTTTATATGCAGGTAGATAGTGCTGATGGAATGGGCTGAACGTCATTAGTTTATTGTTTGGTTCAGAAGACACTGAAGTGGTTTGAGAAGAGTGGCATTTGTCTTACCGCATGATGATAACCAGTATGATAACTGGCTGTTAATTTAAGCATTATAAAGAGAGAAAAAAACATAAGGTTGAAAGAATGTACGTGTTTTAATAGTAATAGGGATAATAAATGAAACTTTTTTGCGCCAGTTGGCATAAACGTTCTACCTATGTGGTTTATTTAGAGTAATAGCCAGAAACTAAATATTATCAGATGGCGGTATAACGTAAATATTCAATGAGACCATTGGGGGGGGGGGGGGGTTAAACAATCACCAATCGTGGGCTACAAAAAAGCGCGAGTGCTGTTTTGGTAGAAATTGTGCGAATTTGGTTATTTGCATACACCATGAACGGCAGTTTATAAGATATGCTGTAACTGCGCCTTGAAATATGTGTGTCTTCATGATAGGCTCAACAAAACTACACATTATCCAAAAACAACACTGTCTTCGCCGCAGCAAACTCTCAAAATGTTGGTGCGAGTCAGGTGGGTCTTGGTAGTGGTTTATGAAAGTAAGGCTGGGCGACGCTGACTCGCAGCCTTTTAGCGTTGAACTCGGGTAGGCTTTAGACACATTCAGCGGGTCCGGGCAGGGAACCGGGGCTTGGTAATCTGGCCCATGCATAGCTTTAATGTAAATCACTCCGTTTTTTGAGGCAATAAGTACACTATAAAATGGAAAGAAACATGAAAAAAATCCATGAATAAATCTTATTTAGCTTTTATTTCGACAGCTCTTGCCACATTGTGTGAATTATTAGGGCGTTTGCTATAGTAATTGGTTCTTCCTTAACCTATATATGAACATATGCGAGCAATACAAAATTCATCACTTATCTGAATACGTGGGGCCAAAGCTGCTACAAAAGAGACCAATTTTTGAGGACGCAGATATTTGCAAAGTTCAGTAGCGCAGCTCTAACACACTTGTGTGATCAAAGTCTGCTGGAGCCATCTTCTTTCCCTTTTGAAGAGTTGCTTTCTGCCGGGTATAGTTTCATCATTTTGTCCCCTATTTCTATATATCGAGAGTCTTTACTTCTCATATAGTCTGAAGTACTCTTTTTGTCGTCATCTGTAGCGCGAATCATTGCAGTGTTCTTTCCTTGTAGGTTGAAGGCCATGTTAGCCAGACGTCTGCTAGGAGCTTCACAGGCAATGAAAAGAACATAGCTCAGCATGTAGCTCCAAATCAGGACAACAAAGCAGTCGGACACCTGCGTGGCAGATAAAAAGTGCTGTTAGCCAATACAGAATACAGCTACAACAATCTGAACACTGCTTTTCTAACCGGGTCCCCAAGGTAACCCCGCGTCATGGACTCTCAATAAGTTGTCAGTTTCGCTGCAATGACGAAGCAATTAACGAGGTAGAAACACCCCAACAACGACGAAATTGTCGAAAGCTTTAGAACTAGGAACCCAAGAAACTTGGGGACGAGGCAGAAGTAGAACGCAAGGCACTGTCTTGCACATGCACTAGCGCTATCACAAGGCGCCGTATAGCGCTCTTTTTTGGGTGTTAAACCAAACTCAGAGGGGAGGCGACACCAAAAGAAGGAAACAAAGACGACACTTGGCAGCAGCAGGTGAAGCCGTGGCTCGCGTTACCTACTGGCGTTGATTAATATCACAATATACGATATATGCTGTGAATTTAATGCAGCCACCTTGTTTCGTTCATTCTGTGGATAAGTCATACAAAGACCAAAACTTTTCCACGGAGTGACCACGAGTGGCGCGGCGCTACAACTCCAAAATCAAAAATTAGCATGGGTCACCTGCGATACAGTGCAAACGCATTGTGAGCAACCTGCACTATGGCCCGTGTGTCGCATTATTATATTATTGCTTCTTGTGGTATCCCATGCGTTTCACCCAACACCACAAGAGTTCGTATTCGGCCGTTGCTTCCTGGAAAACGAATGGTGCAAGGCGTAATTCTCCTGCTTTATCGTTAGCGTCAAGATGCACGTTAACGCAAGCATTCTCCGCTATACTAAACTCGCTAATAATTCTATTTATTAGCAAGATTTCATATAGTGAGAAACACTTGCGTTGGCGTGCGTCTTGATGCTTACGCTAAAATGAGACGCTAAGTGTGGCCAATCGGGGTGTTTTAGTGCACCGGAAGGCATTCCCGCTAAAGCTAAACCAAGCATATACGGCGGCATCAAGGTATGAAATTAGTAAATACCATGTAGGAGCTAGAAGTGCGCCACTAATTCTAGCGTCAGGATTCAAGGTCATCGCTTCAGCGCCTTCGTGTGGCTTTGCCTCAAGAGTGGTGGCAAGGTATTTAAACTAACACATATGCGTTGTATGAATGCTAACTCAATGTGATTTTTTATTGAGTCATAGTTCTCTACTGGTTTTCTGACTGGGCGCAGATAGGTCAATGACCCGTGCATACATGTTTAGTATGTTGTGCCTTGCAAACCAGTGCAAGAAAGCTGAATACGAAATTTCGGTAAATGTAACAGGTTAGTTGGTCTTACAATAAGTGCAGCATTGATTTTTCACCCACCATGGTCTCAGTAATTGACACCATAAATAATACACTACAGTACATATTCATTGTCCACAATGTTTTTCCTAGCCTAATTGTCAATTGATTTACTCTTGTGTCTAACAAAAATAAGCCCCTCAAAAATGCTCCTATTTTTTATTAATTTGCATTCAGTTAGCATGTTATACCTGGGTCATGACATGCCAAGTCAAACAGCGATTTTCAGACGATCACAAGTATGGCCGAAAAATTTCACATTTTTCAAAGAACTTGTCCTGGTTGTTTATTGTGGTTACCAAAAGTTTTCGTGCCTACTGTAAGTCTTTAGTTTTGTTCCGACTGAGCTATAGGGCGTGAAATTTTTTTTTCATAAAATTTTTTGGGATGAAGCAATATAACTGTAAAAATAATTACTCATTTATGTATATCAATTCTCCAAGGGCTTCCCACACCAGCAAAACTGATTAGTTGCCAAATTCGTTATTTTTTTCAGGAAACGTGGCAAGCTCAAAGGGTACAAATAGATTATGTGTAGCTGGCATGTTAGACACGCTAAAGAATGAAAATGATTTAGGTGCTCAAAGTATAGCAGATCATCTGAGAAAAAAATGTATTTTTTGTATCTGTACAGGTAAATATGCTTATGAATAACTGAAACTGAAAAATATCTGAACAGCAAGAGGGGTAGGGGTAATTGAGCATCTCTCTCTCTCCTTTCTTAGTGATGACTCGGAGATGAGCTACCAAGCTGTTAAAAAAGTACACAACACGCAATAACACTACATAACACCCACAACGCAAGCGAGAGAATACAGTAGGCTAACCTCCAAGTTCTTAATATAAAGCTCTTCATTTGTGTAGTCATATCACAGGGTTCGGGTCTCAATGAGCAAGATAGTCTCCTGAAAGATGGAAGAAATGAATTTGTATTAAGTCTGCATTCATCAGTGTGTTCGTGAATGGTACTTGCGTACTGAATAGGAATGAACTTTTTTTATTAAGTGTGTAATACATGCCTTCTGCTTTTGCAGAAGTTCATAGGAAAGTGGCATTTGTTACTATAAATCTCTAATGCTGGATGGTTCATCTGAAGTCACCACATTGACCAGATACACTGTTTCGCTTTTTTTTGTTAGCAATATAATATAGATTGTAAATCTATTTTCTTGTAAATTGCATGAAGTTTGCCATCTGCATCCTAGGCCAGTCGGCTTGAGATAATAATTGCTTTTGTGAACGCATCATGCTGCTTGAGTTGCGTAGGTAAAAATATGTAAGGAGTACTCAATTTCAAAAAAATATTTCTGAAGTTAAAAAATTACACTGTCGAGTAACTGCATCTATGTTTACCTCATATATATTACTTTAAAATGAGCTATCGTGCATATTTTTAGTCCAACACCAAAGTAATTTTTTGCTGCTGTGTACAGTTTTCCGGAAAAAAAGGGAAATTTGCATATTTTTTTCAGATGAACTGGTACACCTTGAGCACCTAAATTACTTTTCTTTTTCAGCATGTCAAACAGGCTGACTGCCCATATTATAAGTGTGCTTTTTGAGCTAACTCATATTCTGCCAAAAATAAGCTTCAACAAATTCATGCATTTTGCTTGTGTGAAAAGCCCTAAAAATTGATATACACAAATAATTTTTTTTGCGGATAGATCATTTCATTGCCTTGCTGTAAATACCATTGTAATGAGTGTAATCCACAAACTTATTTTGAGAAAAAAATTGTTTTTAGCGCCCTCTATCTCAGTCGGCGAAAAACTACAGACTCTTATAAAAATGCAGGAAAGTTTTCGGCAATGGAACTAAACGAGCACGACAAGTTTCGAGGTTCTAGAAACACATGGAAATTATTTCAGCTATAGTAGTGGTGGTCAGAGAAACGCTGAATGATTTGAAGTGGTGTGACCCACTGCGTGCAAGTATGCTAGCTGACGTAAGTATGATTTATTAATGTGTAGTGTAAGTTCTGGTGTTGTAATGCTGCAATTTTTATTTGCTGGGTGTGTGTGTGCTGGTTTGCCCCACTGCCATTTTAAATGCAATATGCTATAAAAGTAGAAGCTTGGACAATTTTGAATGCATTCATTACAAAGCATTAGTAGAGCAAACATCGGAAAGTGACAGAAAAAGCTGTCTGCTTGTTCTGTCCAGTTTTCCAATGGTATATGTTTTTGAGTACTTTGAATGCATTATGGTTTTATAGAATGTGCGCTTATTTATATGTTCATGAATGTCTTCTTTGAGCTACATCACTATGGTCGCTAATAGTACTGAAGTGAGAAGTATATTGTCGTACACTCTTCAACCTCTCTTGTACTGTTTTGATTCGAAGCTGATTTGGGATAATCAAGTGAAAATGGCTTTGCTGTAACTTGAAAGCTGATGTAATAGTGCCTTCAGGTTTTTTATTTCCTTAGAGAAAAATATAGGTGCATACATCTAATGCATTTGAGGATTGCCCATTTATTCAATATGTTATATGTGTGCCACGGGAAAAATGTCCAGAAATCTCAAAGAGAACTTTAGTCACTGGTGTAGCACTTATTTCAAACAAGTGCCTTAAGTGGAACTCTTGACAAATTCTAATTAAGTTCTACATATATATTATTGGGCATGATCATATACAGTACCAGAGCTGCAGAAATGCACTTTTTAATAAATTAGGTGATTTTTAATAGAATTTTGGCAGATTTCTAGTCAGATCCTCTAATGTGGTGTGCAAAGTGTGTTCGACTTTTGTATTTTATTTGATTTTTTACATTTCAACTGTATGATACAAATATGTGAAAAAAATTGTGTTTGTAGTGTTTGTACTTTCAGTGCCTCATGTGGTCGTAATTATTGTGCTCGTGCTGTAAAAATCCTGTTGTCAATAACCATGCTCACTCCTGGGAAATGACTACAAGTCACATGTGTGCAATTTAACCTCCATAATAAATATTCTGTAAGTCTTCAGTCTGTGTGTTCTCGTAGTCCATAAACAGGATTTCTGAAAGGATTCGTACTTTGCTTTGGTGTGTGGGCTGTAGATAAGCTTTTGTTCGCGTCTAATTTTTTTTAGAATGCAGCCTGCAGTCTTGCAAGAATGCTTGCTCAGAGAGAGTTCCGGCTGCTGTGGTTACTTCCATTCAATACCAAAAGAACTTCCAAGACAGGCGAGCTAAAACGTCATAGATTCCACCTATTTACATCAAAATAGAAGTAAAAAAATACAAAAAACAGCTTGATCCCGTGACTAAAATACTCCTACTCATGCCCCTTGAAAACTATAAGAAGGGAGTAAAATATTGCCTTAATTACACCAAAAAAACTCCCAAGTAATAACCATAAAACCCCTGGTTCGTTTTCACTAAGCCACAAAGGGAGTAAAGTTTCTGCCCAATCTACGCCTTGTGTAAGCCCTACCGCATGGGTGTTTTCGTTACTGCCATTTCGATGGCGTAAGAACATGTACAGATGGGAGTGATCGAGAGGACAAGCCAAAAACTTCCATTTGGGGTTTTTTTTTGTTTACAGTGTAGGGCAGCCAAAGGCACTGCGCAAACTTGAGCCTAACTTCCCTATATGCACGCGCCTAACGAGATAGTCGATGAGGCGAAGTTTCTTGGCTCTCGCGTGGCACTCTTGAAAGTGGTCCTGCACGAGGGGGCCGCGAACGGCTGTGCAGTGTGTTTTTGTTGTCTGTTGAAAGCTCTTG